TCCCATTTCAAGTGGCGTTTTTTCTAGTATGACTTATCCTTAAGTAACAAGGACTTCATGTAGCCCCAGCAATCTTTTCATCCAGTATTGTCAATCCTGGCTGCACATTTGAATCAACTGTGGAGCTTGTTAAACAATCCTGAAGCCGGAACCCCAACCCAGACTAATTAGCATTTCTGCTGATGGGGCCAGAACTAAAACTCTCCAGGTGATTCTGATGTACTACCAGGAGACTGAGGCTGGGACTGAGGCTGTCTGCAGTTGGACCTAACCTGAAGTGAGAGTGCCGGGGCATGGGCCTGCACAGAGGAGCTCGGAGAGGCAGCTGCAGGGCAGTGGTAGCTTAGTCCAGGAGTCAAAGGGCAATGTGTGGCGGGTAGGGCCATGACCTTGGCAATGCCATTGTGCCCTTTGCCCCCTTAGCACTGTGGACATGTAACCCCCTTTGCTCTTTTGTGTACCAGGATAGAGGGGGACATCCAGTCTCTCACCTCTCTTTCCTACATCTGAGGCCAAGAGAGCTTGGCTCCCTTCTCATGGATGGACAAAAACTCTAATGTAAGAGCAGGGCTACATATTATGGTTGCCAAATGATACATAAAATCATACTAGTGGATCTATAATGTGTCTGTCATTTACTGCTGTATATCCAGAGCCCACTACAGTGCTTGGGATATAGTAATTGCTTAGTAAGTATGTTTGGAATGAATAAATAAGTCAAATACAGGCAGAATGTAGTAAGTACCACAATTAAGGTACAAAGTGTTACAGAAATACAGAGGAGGAAAAGATTGTTTCCAGCTTGGGAAAGGAGGAATGTGGAAGTCTTCATAGTAGAAGTGGCATTTGAGCTGGACTTTGAAAACTAAGTAAGGCAGTGATAGGCAGAGATGGAGAGAGGGTATTCCGGGCAAAAGAAACAATGTGAGAAAAGGTGGGGAAATGAGAAGGTGCAAAACTCATTCAGTGACCAGCCAATAGTGAAATGTGGCTGGAACATGAGTGCATGAGAGCCTATGGTGGAAGATCAGACTGGTAGGATAAGATCCAAATGCAAAGGGCCTTGAACGTCATGCTAAGAAGTTTACACTATTCTACAGGCAATGTGGAACCATCTGATGATTCTGAGCAGGGCTACAATGTGTTCACTTTAGGAATATTAGCTGTGTACTTTAAGAAAATCAACCATGGCAGCAATTCTTTAAAAAAAGTGTTGAGTGCCTCCTAAGTGCTTGGCACTGTGCTAGGTAGAGGATGGATTGGGGTCAGAGTGACTGGATCAGGAGATTAGTTATTAGGCTATTGTGGTAATCCACGCAAGAACTGCTGCGGGCCTGAAGCAGCTTAGTGGGAGTGGGGATGGGAAGGAGGGGAAGGATTTGACACAGATTACAGAGGTAGAATTGACACAACTTGGTGACCATTTCAGGTGGGGGTGAAAGAAAGAGAAGAAAGACTGAGTGACCAACAGTAATTATCAACATTTGGCTCCTTTGCTCTGGATATTGTGCAAAGTGCTTTACATACATCATTTAATTCACACAATAACCCTTTTGACAGATAAGGACACTAAGGCTCAAAGAAGTAAAGGAACTTGTTCAAGGTCATACAAGTAGGAAATGGTGGAGCTAGACTTTGAACTCATACAGTTTGGCTTCAGAGTCCATGCCCTTAACCCTCCATGCTATGTAGCTTTTGGGGAAATTGGGGAGCTCATGTTTTCTTGGCAAAGTAATTCAGCAGCTCAGTCCCTTCTAAATTATCCTCTCCGTCCCTCCATTTATGCGAAAAAGGTGGTAGTGGTGGAAAGTTTTTCTGCACCACCTCCAGCAGTTCTTCTTGAGTGCCCTTCACTCCTGTGGTGGGAAGATGGAGCTGGTGAAGGGGTGTAGGAGAGATGAGGCTGGTAGACTAGAACCAAAGGCTGCAACAAAGGTGGAAACTTGGTAATCCCCAAGGCCACATGAGTCCAGTAGACATGTTCAGCCCACACAGCTTTTTTTTTTCAGACTTGAGCCAATATTTAGGAATTATGCAGGTTTCACGTAAAAATCCTGAGTCCTGTGACTTTCCTTGAAGAATCAGAAGATGTGGCAACACTGAGCCCACATTCCCACAAGACAACACTGGGCTTCAGCTTCCCCCTTTAAACGGGGCATGTGCTGTGCAGTTCTCACCAGTTACTTTGTTTCAGTCTGCACTTTCCCCCACTTCACTCATTTACAATTATTTGCCTGCTCCTTGTAGATGGTTAAGCTCATGATCCTGTCTATAATGACCTACTACTGAGGTTACTCTTTTTTTTTTCTGTGATTTGAGCCAACAGGGGGCAGGGCACAGGGTCAGCATCCTCTGGTCTCACTCACTCCCCAAGTCACAGACTGTTTCCTAGGGCAACAAGCTCGACTCCACAGAACAAAGCCATGAAGGGAGGGTTATCATCAAGTCTTACCATTTATTTCTTTATGGGATTAAAGAAGAGCAGAGAGGCCTCTGCCCCACAATGCAACAAAACAGAAAGCAATACACATACAGACTCTCACCGAAACACAGAGGCGGGGTAAGAGGGAGGGCAGAGACAACTGAATCATAGCCAGGTAAGGGAGGGAAGGATAGGGGACTACTTGGAAACCAGCTTGGAGACTCAAAGTCATAGGAACTAGTGCAAGAAAGTCCTACTCATGAAGCACAGTGTAGAAAATGGCATAAGAAAGCTGTCCAGCTCTGCTGCCTGTGGTGGAGGGGAGGGACAGCTGGATAGGTGGTGATCTGGGTGGTGGGGTAGATAAGGACAGTCAAATGACTTAGAGGTGGAGTGTGGTGCCCCTTTCCCCTGCCACTGGGCAAGGCCCTGGGCTGGTCTGAGCCAGGGGTCTCCTGGGCACTTGGTGAGGGGGAAGAGAGGATGGGAGTCTTCAAGGGCCCATTCCCTGGGGCTATACACGTCTCCCTTTACTTCCCAGTCCCTTTCCTCTCCTGAGGATGCAGGAGTTAGAAGGCAGTACCTAGGGTCTCCCTGGAGCCTAAGCACCTGCCCCTTTACTTATACATAGGCATCTCTGGAAGGAGCCAGCACTTCTTCCCCTCCCCAGCTAAAAAGAGCACTCTAGGAATAGGGTATGTGGCTAGGCCCCAAGTCCTGAGGGCCAAAAAAGGGGAGTGTGTGGGCAGGGCATAGGGGTAGGGGGGCACACTGTGAGAAATGAGGAAACTGGAAAGAAAGGACTCCCCAGACCCACTAAGCCTATTTGGGACCCAGCTGCAGCCCTTGAACGGTTTCCTTTACTAGAGAGGTCTCCCAGTCATTCCTCAGCCAACCAATTCCAGCTCTCCCTTCTCCACCCACCTTTTGGCTTCACTCTAATGCAGCTCCAGGCCTAGCCCATTCCCTTAACTCACCAGCATGACATCCTAAAAGGATGCAGACCCTTCTGGTACTGAAAGCCCCTTGGCCTATCCCAGGAACACAGTTCTGACTCCGTTTCTTGTTTGCTCCTAACCTGTTGCCCTTGAGTCGATTCCAATTCATAGCGACTTGTTTGCTCCTATTGGCTTTTAAATGTCTCAAGCAATGTGGCCTCCACCTCCCAGTACACCAGGGCAAGGCTAATGGCTAATGGCTCCAAAGGGTCTCGATGCCTCTTCTCTAGTACAACCCTATAGCCTGACCAAAGAGTTCAAGTCTCTCAACCAAGGGACATCAGCACATTATCTTTTTCCAAAGGATCCTCTTGCCAGTCTCTGGACTTTTCTCTAGCAAGGGGCAGGGGTGGCTGGAGCAGGGGACTTGCTACAGGGTAAGGAGGAGTCTGGTTGTCCCACAATTGGGGTGGTAATTGATGGGGTCAGGGATGGGGAAGGAGGAATACTCTTTGGTAGGCTGGGGACAGGGACGGGGGAGGCTCATCTCTGGAGAGCTCTGGAACAATGCCACCAGGTTCTCCTTCATGGAGGCCTGGGCTAGGACAAGATGGGGGAGTATGGGGACCCAGGCCAGGCCTGACCCACTTAGACTTAAGTCCCTCCTCCCTATGGAGATCAGAAATGGAAACTTTTTTGGCCTCAAGGCCAAGATCTCCAGGGAAGGAGAGGCCCTTGGGAGTATGTGCACCTTCTGTAAGATATGGCCCTTCAGATAGCGGCAGTCTGACCATGCATCCTCAGCCTGTTTCAAGGCCCAACAACTCAGTTCCTACACTCTTTCCCCAGAGGGCTCCTTATGCAACTTTCTCTGACTTGGTGAGCTGTCCTTGAGCCTCCCTCAACACTGATCACCCACATTCCCAAAGCCAGGTGGCAACAACCCGTTTGGCTATATCTCCTCTTTCCAAGCCCTCTGTCCACTTCTCTCCTTTCCTCTCCACCTTCTTGATCTCTATTTTCTCTCACCACTCATTCTTCACCCCATTCCTACCCCTCATTGACTAGAATGGTGGAGCACAGCCCCAGCCTAGCTCCAACTGTGCACACCTCATCTACTAGCCACGTGGGGCAAGGTGTGCTGAAGTGGGAGGAGGGGCACTGCACTGTCTGCCGGTGCCTGAAGGGATATGGGCAGGAGGGAATTAAGGATCTTGGCAACAAAAGGAATGTGGAGGGGGGAAAGAGCGTCTCCCCTCTGTGCCCCCAAACATTCCCCGCAGAGCCAAGGCCGGAAGAGCAGCCTCCTTCTCCGGGATCCGGGCTCTCAGCAGGGGTGGGCATTTCCAGCCCCTACTCACCCCCTTTTTTTGCTAAGCCCCATAGATGGGGCCCTGGGCGGGGTGCCTGCTACTCTTGCCTTTTTCTCCTGGATGGGTTTTGCAGCTCCCTGGAGCCCTCCGCCCATTCTGTTGGAGCTGCTTTAGGGGTGGGGGTAGGTTGTGGGGATATGTAGTCCCCCATTTCCTGTAGCCCCCCACCTGGTCTTACACCTCCCATGGGAGGAGCCCCCTCCCTCCCACCTGGGGGGCTGGAGCTGATGTCAGTGTGTGGTGGAGGTCCATCCTCCCTCCCTGCTGTCACTCTTCCCGTGTCAGGCCCTCTTCTAGGGCAGGCAGTGCCTCCAGCCCCAGTCCCCCACCATCCTGGTTGCTGGAGAAGGACACCATGGTGTGGAGGAGCATGAGAACAAGGACACAGAGCCGGATCCTGCTGGGGCTGAGGCGGGAGCCTCCAGAGACCGGCAACAGGGAGGGCTTGTGGCTGATGCGGCCTGGGGGGTCATGGCGGGGGTGGTAGTGGTGGTACTGTTGGTGATAGTGGTGGAAATAGGAGTGGTGGAATTGCTGGTGGTGGGTTTTGGGAGCCTCAGACTCCTTGAACTTCTTCTTCTCCGACTCACAGGAGACCCACTGCACGTCACAGCACTTGGCTTCCGGCCGCTTTGGCGAAGTATCCAGCAACCCTGCCAATGGATAAGGGAGGTGTGGGGGGGTGCTCAGGGGACTGATGGTTATGCCTTACCTGGAGAGGAGATTTTCAAAGCTGGGACTGCACAGATAGTTCTGCCCAAGGCTCCTTTTCCCCTGCCCTTCAACAGCTTCCCTTTCTGGACCCTTGTCTCCCTGAGACCCTAGCTAGTTTCTCCATAAGGACTACTTGGCTTGGCATGTTCTGGGTAGAGATGGCCATTTTGGCCTTTCCCCTATTCCACTTGGCCCTATCCCAACTTGGGGCCCTCCCTGCCCACTCCTCCAGCCATTTAACCTTCTTCTAACCTGACTCCCCTGTTGTCCTCCCTGCTCCCACTCCCTTGACTGGTGCCTGCCCTGGGCCCCCAGCCGCCTCCCTCTTCCCCAGTGCCCTGCCTTTACCTGTACAGATAAAGCCAGGGAGCCCTCCGTACACCATTTCCTCATTGTCAGGGAGTATAAAGGGGCACCGGGTCTGCACCTCCAGGCAGTATTGCTTGCAGGGCACCCAGCGCCGGCATTCCTGCTGGGTCACGCTGAAGTATTCTGAGCACAGCCAGGCCTTGTAGACAGCCTGTGGGGAAAGGAAAGAGCATCAGCCCAGGTGCCAGTCCCTTCCCAACTCAGAGGAGAGGGATGAGGAGGGGGTGTACTTGCAACCTCTCAGGGGGCCTCCCAGCCTAAGCCCAAGAGCCAGGGGGTGGAGATGAGGAAGGGTCTGGGTCAAGGCCACTACATTCTACTGTAAAATCTCCCATCTCATAGCCAGGACTCCTTAGTCCCCAGTCTGTAGTCACCCAAGACTTAGAATCAGCTCCTTGGCAAAATCACAAAATTACTCATATCTCAGAAGTGAATTTCAGTTCCATTAAATTCAATAAACATTTATTTGGCTGATGGTATTAAGTTTCCAAATTCAGGAAAGAGATAGGGAGAATAACCCTTGGTCTATCTCATTAGGGTGTTGTGTGGATCAAATAATATGATGCATACGAAAATGTTTTGTAAACTCTAAAATGCAATTCAAATGTGACGGGTTATTTTTAATAAAAACAGTAATCTGCCTTACCAGGCACCACATGTGCGTTCAAGTTCTACCTAATCCATCCACACCTGTTGGCGTCAGCCCTGGTGTGGAGCAAACACCACAGACACTGCTATGTTTCATTTGGAACCTTTATATTTTCACAGGTATGCTTCCTGTCCTTCATCTAGCGCAGACCTATCAGGTACTGGTGCCTGGCTAAGCAAGGTTCCCTGCCCCAAACTCTTTGGCTATCATCAAGCCCAGGGTTTTTCAACAGCAGCACTACTGACATCTTGGGCTAGATAATTCTTTGTTGTGGGGGCTATCCTGTGCATTGCAGGATACTGAGCAGCATCCCTGGCCTCTACCCACCAGATGCCAGTAGCACCCTCACCCTCATTGTAACAACCAACAGATGTCTACAGAGGTTGCCAATCGTCCCCTGAGGAGCAAAATTTCTCCCTTTGAGAACCACTGATCTAGTCCCTTGCTACTCGAAGTGTGGTCCTAGACCAGCGCCAAAGGCATCACTTAGGAGCTTGTTATAAATGCAGAACTTCAGGCCTTGACTCAGATCTGCCAAGCCAGCATCTGCATTTTAACAAGAAGCCCAGGTATTTCTCATGTATAGGGTTAGAGCCCTGCCCACATCCAGGCCTGGCATCTTCAGGGATACCTTCTAGGTCTATAGTTGCTCCTCACAGCAATGATTCTCAGAATCCCCTGGGGCAATTGTTGAATTTGCAGATGCCTCCCTCCAATTCAGCTTCAAAAGGATTGAGATGGGCCCAGGAATATGCATTTTGAACAAGGGACCAGGTCATTCTGCTGCAGGAGACACTCTGAGCAATATGGTCTTAGAAGTGGTCTGTCACTGTTCCCTAAACTTAATTTAAACATTTACACTAAAATACAAATAACTGTGTTGTGAACATGGATTTTGGCAATGAAAAAGTGCAAAGAGGCCTTTCCCAAAGTGGGGTGGTGATGGTGGGTGGTAATGTGGGGGTGGTGGTGGTACAGCTGTCAAATAAACCCCCAAGCAAAAAAGCATTGCTTAGACTTTGGTATCTCATGGGCATCTCAAATTTATTTTATTTTTTTCAAGTTGTGCTGACTTCCCCTATATTGTGTGTTGTCTTTCCCTTCACAAAAGTTGACACTTGTCTACTATCCAGTTAGTGATTTCCCCTCCTCATACATCCCCTCCCTTGTAACCATCAAAGTTTGTTTTTTTCTGTCTGTAAACCTTTTCTTGAGTTTTTATAATAGTGGTCTCATACAATATTTGTCTCTCTGTGATTGACTTACTTCACTCAGCATAATGCCCTCCAGATTCATCTATATTGTGAGATAGTTCACAGATTCATCATTGTTCTTTATCATTGCATAGTATTCCATTGTGTGTATGTACCATAATTTATCCATTCATCTGTTGATGGGCACGTAGGTTGTTTCCATCTTTTTGCTACTGTGAATAATGCTGCAATGAACACGGGTGTGCATATGTCTATTAGTGTGAAGGCTCTTATTTTTCCAAGATATATTCCTAAGAGTGGGATTGCTGGCTCATTTGATATTTCTATTTCTAGCTTTTTAAAGAGGTGCCATATAATTTTCCATAGTTGTTGAACCATTTTACACTCCTACCAGCAGTGCATAAGAGTTCCAATCTCCCCACAACCTCTCCAACATTTATTATTTTCTGTTTTTTTCTTTATTATTGCCAGTATTGTCGGGGAGAGATAGTATCTCATTGGAGTTTTGATTTGCATTTCTCTAATGGCTAATGATCGTGAGCATTTCCTAATGTGTCTTTTAGCCACCTGGATGTCTTCTTTGGTGAAGGGTCTGTTCATATTCTTTGCCTATTTTTTAACTGGATCATTTGTATTTTTGTTATTGTGGTGTTGAAGTATTCTGTAGATTTTAGAGTTTAGACCCTTGTGGGATATGTTGTAGCCAAAATATTTTTCCCACTCTGTAAGTTCTTTTTTTACTCTTTTGGCGAAGTCTTTTGATAAGCATAAGTGTTTATGTTTTAGGAGCTCCCAGTTATCTAGCTTCTCTCCTGGTGTTTATGCATTGTTAGTTATGATTTGTGTTGCATTTATGCCATGTATTAGGGCTCCTAGCATTGTCCCTATTCTTTCTTCCATGATCTTTATCGTTTCAGGTTTTATATTTAGGTCTTTGATTCATTTTCAGTTAGTTTTTGTGTATAGTATCAGGTATGAGTCCTGTTTCATTTTTTTACAGATGGACATCCAGTTATGCCAGTACCATTTGTTAAAGAGACTGACTTATTCCCACTTAATGGACTCTGACCCTTTGTCAAATATCAGCTGCCTGCAGGTGGATGGATTTACATCTGGGTTCTCAATTCTGTTCCATTGTTCTATGTGTCTGTTGTTGTACCAGTACTAGGCTGTTTTGACAACCATGGCTGTGTAGTAGGTTCTGAGATCATGTAATGTAAGGCATCCCAATTTGTTCTTCTTCAATAATGCTATACTTATCCAGGACGCCTTCCCTTTTCATATAAAGTTGGTTCTTAGTTTCTCCATCTCGTTAAAGAATACTGTTGGAAGCACTACACTCATACCTATCAGTAATTACACTGAAAGTAAATGGACTAAACGCACCAATAAAGAGACAGAGAGTGGCAGAATGGATTAAAAAAAACCACGATCCATCTATATGCTACCTAGAAGAGACACACCTTAGACTTAAAAAAAGAAACAAACTAAATCTCAAAGGATGGGAAAAAAGATATCAAGCAAACAACAGTCAAAAAAGAGCAGAAGTGGCAATACTAATCTCTGACAAAATAGACTTTAAAGTAAAATCCACCACAAAGGATAAGGAAGGACACTATATAATGATTAAAGGGTCAATATACAAGGAGGATATAACTATAATAAATATTTACACACCCAACGACAGGGTTCCAAAATACATAAACAAACTCTAACAGCACTGAAAAGAGAGATAGACAGCTCCCCAATAGTAGTAGGAGACTTCAACACACCACTTTCGGTGAAGGACAGAACATCCAGAAAGAAGCTCAATAAAGACAAGGAAGATCTAAACGCTACAATCAACCAACTTGATCTCATGGACATATACCAAACATTCCACACAACAGCAGCCAAGTATAATTTCTTTTCCAAAGCACATGGAACATTCTCCAGAATAGACCATGCATTGGGCCATAAAGCAAGCCTTAACAAAATCCAAAGCATCAAAATATTACAAAGCATCTTTTCTGACCATAAAGCCATAAAAGTGGAAATCAATAACAGAAAAAGCAAGGAAAAAAATCAAACACATGGAAATTGAACACCTTGCTCAAAAACTACTGGGTTATAGAAGAAATTAAGGATTGAATAAAGACATTCATAGAATCAAACGAGAATGAAAGCATATCCTACCAGAACCTTTGGGAAACAGCAAAAGCAGTGCTCAGAGGTCAGTTTATAGGAATAAAAGCACACAAACAAAAAGGAAAAAGGGGCCATAATCAAAACATTAACCCTACAACTCAAACAAGTAGAAAGAGAGCAGCAAAAGAAGCCCTCGGGTGCCAGAAGAAAGGAAATAATAAGAATTAGGGCAGAATTAAATGAAATACAGAATAGAAAAACAATTGAAAGAGTTAACAAGACCAAAAGGTGGTTCTTGGAAAAGATCAACAAAATTGATAAACCATTGGCCAAACTGACAAAAGAAACACAGGAGAGGAAGGAAATAACCTGTATAAGAAATGAGACGAGTGATATCACAACAGACTCAACTGACATTAAAAGAATCATCCTGGACAGAGCTGGAGAAGGATGTAGAACAAAATTCTAACACAAACAAAAAAGACCAGATTTACTGGCCTAAAGGAGACTGGAGAAACCCCGAGAGTACGGCCCCCAGACACCCTTTAAGCTCAGTGGTGAAGTCACTTCCGAGGTTCACCGTTCAGCCAGGGATTGGACAGCCCCATAAAACAAAACAGGACCAATGAGGCACAGCAGTCTGGGGACAAGGGCTAGAAGGCAGAAGGGGACAGGAAAGCTGGTGATAGGGAACCCAAGGTTGAATAAGGACAATGTTCATGTGTCGTGAGGTTGTTAACCGTTGTCATAGGGCAACACGTGTATAAACTGTTTAATGAGAAACTATTTTGTTCTGTAAACTTTAATCTAAAGTGAGAATAGCAGCACAATTGGAAGAGCATAATCAATGTCACTGAACTGTGCATGTAGAAATTTTTGAAATGGTGTATCTTTGGCTACGTATATTTTCACCAAAAAAAAAAAAGGTCGAGAAGGGAGAGGGTTGACATGTCATGGGGTTGTTAACCAATGTCATAAAACAATATGTGTACTACTGTTTCATGAGAAACTATTTGTTCTGTAAACCTTCACCTGAAGTACAATAAAAAAAAATAAAAATAAAAGAATCATAACAGGACTTCCCGGCAACATGGTGCTATAGTCAGAAGCACCACGCCGTCCCTCCACAGCAAAGATCACAAAAACTAAGTCAAACAGAGT